ACTCTCGCAACCTGTTGCTACAGAGTATAATAGTTTTGTTCACCTAACGGTTGTTTGTATCACCTAAAACTAATCGAGTTAGATATAGGGTTATATATATATAAATGATCAGGATGAAGAGACGAGTTAAAATCCGGGTGACTGTCTGTCCGTCCGTCCGTCCGTGCAAGCTGTAACTTGAGTAAAAATTGAGATATCTTTATGAAATTTGGTAGACATGTTTCTTGGTACCGTGAGACGGTTGGTATTGCAGATGGGCGTAATCGGACCACTGCCACGCCCACAAAACGCCATTAATCAAAAACAAATAACTTGCCATAACTAAGCTACACAACAAGATACAAGACTCTTATTTGGTATACAGGATCACAATAGGGAGGGGCATCTGCAGTTAAACTTTCTTTGTTAAAGTGGGCGTGGTCCCGCCCCTAGTAAGTTTAATGTGCATATCTCCTTAACCGTTAATGCAATAATAACAAAATTTACTGGAAGCAACTGTTTTTAGAACCTACCTACAGTGTGAAAATGGGTGAAATCGGGTGACAACCCCGCCCACTGCCTATATAACGGTACTGTTAAAAACTACTTAGAAATGGATAGAAATGCTAAAAACATTTGTTCCCAGTGAATTTTTTACACTCTCGCAACCTGTTGCTACAGAGTATAATAGTTTTGTTCACCTAACGGTTGTTTGTATCACCTAAAACTAATCGAGTTAGATATAGGGTTATATATATATAAATGATCAGGATGAAGAGACGAGTTAAAATCCGGGTGACTGTCTGTCCGTCCGTCCGTCCGTGCAAGCTGTAACTTGAGTAAAAATTGAGATATCTTTATGAAATTTGGTAGACATGTTTCTTGGTACCGTGAGACGGTTGGTATTGCAGATGGGCGTAATCGGACCACTGCCACGCCCACAAAACGTCATTCAATGCTTTATAAAAAGTGTTACAGTGATCGGATTTAGTTAAAATATGCGCCGTTTTGTTCGATGATCTGTTTCCATCTAGACGGCAACTTCATAATACCTTCCTCGTAGAAGCCCCCCTCCTTATTTGCGAAGAATTCGGACAGCCACTTTTCACAAGCCTCTTTTGAGTTCAACTTCACACCACCAAGGGCATTCGCCATGGACAGGAACAGGTGGTAATCACTTGGCGCTACGTCCGGGCTATATGGTGGATGCTATAAAACCACCCATCCGAGCTCCCGTAGCTTCTGACGAGTCATCAACGAAGTGTGTGGTCTGGCGTTGTCCTGATGGAACACTACACCCTTCCTGTTGGCCAATTCTGGACGCTTCTGGTCGATCGCCTGCTTCAAGCGGTTCAGTTGTTCGCAGTATATGGTAGAATTAAGAGTCTGGCCATTTGGGAGCAGCTCATAGTGGATGATTCCCTTCCAATCCCACCAAACACAGCAAAACCTTCCTGGCCTTCAATCCCGGCTTGGCCACTGTTTGGGACGATTCACCGGCCTTCGACCACGACCGTTTTCGCTTGATATTGTCGTATGTGATCCATTTTTCGTCGCCAGTCACCATCCGCTTCAAGAATGGGACGAGTTCGTTCCGTTTCAGCAGCATATCGCAGGCGTTGATTCGGTCCAGAAGGTTTTTTTGCGTCAAATTATGCGGCACCCAAACATCAAACTTTTTTTTGTATCCAGCCTTCTGCAGATGGTTCAAAATGGTTTGGTGACTAACTCCCATCTCCTGGGCGATGTCACGAGATGCCATATGCCGGTCTAACTCGATGTATTCCATGATTTGATCGGTATTTGTCGTTACAGGTCTTCCGCTGGCTGGCTTATCCATGGTGTCGTTTTCACCGGCTCTGAATCGTCGAAAAAATTCCTCCGCGGTTCGAAGTGATAGAGTACCATCCCCCAAAACACCATTAATCTCACGGAACGTTTCTCTAGCGGATTTGCCTTTAACGAAGGAAAACTTTAAAATAGCGCGAATTTCGGCGTTAGTGAACTCCATGTTTACACGTCTATAACTGTTGAACGCAATATCCAAACTAATCATGCATAGCGTTGTTTTGTAGGTTATGTCAAGACCTTTCAAATTATGTATAGTGTTGCCAGATACGAGCTCTGTAGCGCTTTGTACATAGCCGCGAAATTCAAAAGACAAAAAAGCGGAAAGGAGATATTTGACAACCTTATATATACATAACCCTTTATCTAACTCGATTAGTTTTAGATGTTACAAACAACGGTTAGGTGCACAAAACTTTTATATTCTGTAGCAATATGTTGCGAGAGTATAAAAATTTTGTGGTTATGTGAAAAAAGTACACAAAAGTTATAGACCTTTTCATTACCTACAACATTGAGATATAACTTATTTCTATAGAACTCATAGTTTAGCCGGAAATCAAGTTAAACCATTCTTAACCCTTAAAAATTCAGACACGCCCCTCCCCTTCCTTTTCTTTTATTTTTCTTTTAATGCTTGTTATTTTATCTTTCGTTTCCGATGGGTTTCATACTATTATAATTTTTTTTTTGTTTTCAAAAATTATTTACAATGGTCTAGTAAATCTATATACAATACATATGTCTACAATATTGTTTTGCTGTTTAATTTTGAAAAATAAAAAATAATTTAACATTAGCAAATTGTTGGTTCTTCTAATAATAAATCATAACTTCTAATAATAATATATATAAAAGATGACAGGTAGTTGATAGTTTTAGTTGTTATTTATGACATTATAAAAAATTATAAAATATTGTTGAATGGAATGATGTGTTGAGTCAACAAAGCCTCGAGAATTTCTTTCAACATTTCTAAGTAAATAACTAAACTTTTAGAAGTTCACAGTAAAGTGTTAAATTTAAAAAAAAAGGAAGTGCCAAAAAAGTGAGTGTTTACGGCAAAATCTTTCATATGTAAACAAACACCTGCCTTCACCAGATGCTTTTCAGCGAGCATCTGAAGCAAACAATTAATTTAAATAAGTTGAATAAACAGCAAAAAGCCAATAATGTCTTTAGCATTCGCCAAAAATACTATCATATACTGTAATTTCTGACATTGATTACCACCTCATCATGTACTTATTAAACACTCTCTTGACAAATGAAAAATTAACACTATTTTATATCAAACAACAAATAGTTTTGGAGTCGCGAAAACCGTTAACCGTGGATGCAACTGTCATATGTTGAAGCTACGCTAGCTCTGCTTAGGCGTAGTTTTGGAAAAATATGCAAAGGAGTAAATAATAGCTGTCTTCGATTCGCTAAGCGTTACTCTCCAGCGAATCGAACAAACTAAACCAGATGCTCAAACAAAATGATTGACCTTTCCACCTTTATTTCACAGTTTCAATGGAAAATGAGATATCTAACTATAATTTCTCATTTTCCACACATTGAGCAAATTATTCTCTTTCATGACTATTAGATAATATGAATAGCAAACAAGACAGTATGCAATTTTAAGTGAACAAATTTTAAGATTAACTTTCATTATGAATACATCTGATACAAAATATTGCTTACTAAAACTTTATGCCTACCAACCAAACTACCAAAAGCAAACGAAACTACCAATTTTGGTCCGATCATACCAAAACGGTAACGCTGGACTCAATAAACATCTAACTGGAATTCGAGCATTTATCATTTTACTTTATACCAATCTAATATATAGAATATTTTAGTAGGATATTTTTATATGGAGGTAGGATATATTCTTTAATTAGGTCGTTTGTACGATATTAAGTCCAAATAAGGTCAAAATATATATTTTAAGTAAAAAACAACATTAAAAGGTAATTTGGGAATAAAAGCTTTCTTTAGGAAAAGTTGGGAAGGGCTAAGTTTGGGTGTAACCGAACATTTCATACTTGGAAGAAGCAAAGAAATACCTTCAGATCTTATCCATTTCAGGCAAGAGAGTGCATTGTTTTTAGAAAGATGTTCATTCTGAATTTCAATCAAATTACTTAAATATTGGCCGATAGATGCGGTGTAAAGTCAACCGGAAATTCGAAAATATTAGGCATGCTGTCGTCATAAAAATATTTTCGCCGAATTTCAATACTAGACTTTAAAGATTGACCGATATATTCATATAACATGGGGTCCCCATATTTGGTATCTACGTACTTGAAAAGTTATAATTCGATTTCGACAATTTTTGGGCGTAAGAGGAAATACCTTGGAGGCACTATTTCTGCAAAGTTTTATTCTGATGACTTCATTGATATTTGATTTTTATACTGTAAAGTGAAAGAATCAGAAAGAATTTAAAAGTTTGTTATATGGGAAGTAGGCGTAGTTGTCATCCGATTTCGATTTCCATTTTTTCACAGTGGGAGATAGGATAATTAAGGCCACTTCACATACCAAATTTGGTTGGTATTGGTCAATTAGGTCCTGAGATATGGAATTTCACAAGTGTGGGTGATGCCACACCCCTTGTCCAATTTGTATATCTGCTGTTAAAAACGTCTTCGCTAACATTTCAGTTATGAAATTTAATGCTTGTAACGCATTTATTCAGTGTATTATCGCAGTAATATCATAGTTTTCAACATATCTGTTATATGGGGAGTGGGCGTGGTTATTCTCTGATTTTATTCATTTTCATTGTGT